ACTATAAAATATTGAGGTATCAATTTTAAAAAATATATATATTATTGATTTTTTTTACAGAAAGGAAGGGAAAGGGATAGAGAGAGTTAGAAATCCATGAGAGAGAAACATCGATCAGCTGCCTCCCGCACACTCCTCACTGGGGATGTGCCCGCAACCAAGGTACATGCCCTTGACCAGAATCAAACCTGGGACCCTTCAGTCCGCAGGCTGACGCTCTATCCACTGAGCCAAACCGGTTAGGGCAAAAAATATATATATATATTTTTTAATAAACCCGCTAGAGCCACAGAGATAGGCATGGATAAGTGAGCGCACATACACACACACACACACACGCACACAGCAAGTTGCAGAATCCACGTAGAATGACAGCATTTATAGAGTTTGCGACCACGTAGAAGGATCAGTTATTATTTCTGGACACAGGTCTGTGTGGGCACAGGGACAGGGTCTCATGGACATTCGGAAGCTGCTTCCCTCGGGAGAGGGTTGGGCTGGGCGCACAGGACCGGGCGGGCCGCGGGGTCAGGCATTTGCAATGCCTGATTCTTAAAAAGCCTGAAAAATTGAGCCAGCGTTTGCTTTAGATGCAGCTAGGCCTGCAGGCACAGAGCTGCTGGTGAAGTGTGTCCCCTGTACTTCTCTGGGTGTTTGGAAAGCACCCTCGCATGGCTCCCAGGGCCCGGGGTCCTGTGTGGCTGCTCCTCCCTGACCTCTCCCCTTGACTCATCATTCCTCTTCCCCACAAGGAATGAAGTCTTTGCCTCCTTCCTTCATTTCCTGTTTATTACCCATTCATTCCCCAAATGCCTGCCCTGGGAGCTGGGGACACAGTGGTGACAGAGAGAGCCCTGCCCCTGCCCTCGTGGGGCTCACAGTCCATGGGGGACACAGGACCATCCCCAGACAGTGCCGACCCAGTGGGCTGGGCTGAGGGGGACACGTGACCCAGCCCGGGCATCGGTAGGGATTCCTGGAGGAGAGAGAGTTGGGGCTGCGTCCGAAAATATGAGTAAAGCGTGGAGAACAGGCTCCCATGTAAAAAGACCAACGGATGCTGAAACCCAGAGGAGTTTGGAGCAAGGAGGAGAAGGTAGGACAGCACTGGTGAGGCGACAGCTGGCAAGGGAGGGGCCTGAATTTTGTCCCACTGGCACTGGGAGCCAGGGAAGGTTGAGAGAAGGGGAGGGGCAGGTTTGTGCTTTAACAAGATCCTCAAGGGTGGGCTGGAGGGGCCAAGACTGGATGTCTGGAAACCAGGGAGGAGGCAGGGAAGCAGAAAGGGGCTTGGGCCATGGGCAGGGACGGAGACAAGGGACTAAGGAGATGAAATGGGCAGGAAGCTTCGAGCTCGGTGCCGGCAGAGACTGGGTCTTCCTTGGCCACCGCTCTGTCCTCAAAGCCGGCACAGCCTGGGCCCAGGTGTTTCCTTACTGTGGTAAAACGAATAACAAAATCCAACATATTAACCTTTTTTGTTGTTGTGTCGTTTTGTTTTGTTAACTCTCACCTGAGGATGTGTTTCCATTGATCTTTGAGGGAGAGTGGAAGAGAGAGGGGAAGACAGAGAGAAACATCGATGTGAGAGAAACACATTGATTGGTTGCCTCCTGCACGAGCCCTGACCGGGGCTGGGCCCAGGCTGGAGAGGAGCCTGCAACCGAGGCACATGCCCTTGACCGGAATCGAACCCAGGACCCTTTGGTCCACAGGCTGACGCTCTATCCACTGAGCCAAACTGGCTAGGGCCATTTTTATATTTTTAAGCTTAATTTTTTTTAAAAAAAATCATTTGAGCCGAAACCGGTTTGGCTCAGTGGATAGAGCATCAGCCTGCAGACTGAAGGGTCCCAGGTTCGATTCCAGTCAAGGGCATGTACCTGGGTTGCGGATCGATGTTTCTAACTCTCTATCTCTCTCTTTTTCTCTCTGTAAAAAATCAATAAAATATATTTTTTTAAAAATAAAAAAAATTCATTTGAGAAAGAGAGGAAGGGAGAGAGAGAGAGAGAGAGAGAAGCATCAACTTAATTTATTCACTGGGGTTGAACCCACGGCCTTGCCATATGGGGATCATGCTCTAACCAACGGAGCGGCCTGGCCAAGGCCGTGTTAACCGTGTTAAAGGGTCCTATTCATTGGCATCTAGTAATTCACAGTGTTGTCAACCGCCCCTCGATCTAGTTCCAGATGGAAATTTTTCATCCCCCTACATGGAAACTCTGTATCCATTAAGCAGTGACTCCTAGCCCCTGGCAACCACTAATGTCCCTGCCTCTGAGGACTCCCCTCCTGTGGATACTTCCCAGGAAGTGTTGCTGAGGGAATGAAACGGGTAGAGGTGACAGGGTACTGACTGGACAGGGCAGATGAGGCAGGTGCGCAGGTGTGTGACCCGGATAACGGGGCGGCGGCAGAGAGGGGGCCCGGGTCCCAAGCCATCTGCCCTTTGCTGCTGTGCCACCTTGAGAGGTGCCCTTCCCCTCTCTGAGCCTGTTCCTTCACGGTGGGTGCGTGTGGGTGAACTGGGATGACAACCACACGGGGCGAGTAAGGTGGGGGTAGGGCCTGCGAGCCGATGCCCTGGGGGAGCCCAGGCCCCAGGGTCACACAGGTCTGGGCGCCAGTCCTGCCTTTGCCCCTGAATCACTGAGGGGCGTTAGGCGAGGGCCTTTGCCCTTCTGAGCCTGTGTCCTCGTCTGCAAAACGGGCCCAGTAACAGTGCTCACCTCATGGGATGGTGAGGGCTCAAGGCATCCGTGTGTGCTCAGCCCGGAAGTGCTGGGGACGCGGAAGGACTGTCATCAACATATTTTTATTTTTTATTGATTTCAGAGAGGAAGGTAGAGAGAGATAGAAACATCAATGATGAGAGAGAATCATGGATCAGCTGCCTCCTGCACACCCCCCATAGGGGATCGAGCTGGCATCCAGGGCATGTGCCCCTGTCTGGACTCGAACCCGGGACCCTTCAGTCTGGAGGCGGACGCTCTAGCCACTGATCCAACCCAGCCAGGGTTGTCATCAGCATATTAACGGCCCATTATTTCCCCCGCAGGTCCCCCGCCTGGCAAAATGCCCATCCTGAAGAGCCTCCGGGTGGCAGATGCCAAGGTGCCCCAGGCAGGAACCCTGCCCCAGAGGTCCTCGCGGAACCCCTTTGAGGACGTTCCCGGGCTGGAAGAGGAGGAGCCCGGGCGGCTGGGGACCCTGCCCAACGGGACGTCGTGTGGCCGCCGCGCCACGCTGGAGAAGCTGGCGGGCCTGGCTCCCTTCCGCCTGGCCTGGACCCCCGGCCGGCGGGCGGGCAGCCCCGGCGACGGGCAGCCCCGCTCCTTCCTGGGCCGGGTGGGAACCCCTTTGAGGACGTTCCCGGGCTGGAAGAGGAGGAGCCCGGGCGGCTGGGGACCCTGCCCAACGGGACGTCGTGTGGCCGCCGCGCCACGCTGGAGAAGCTGGCGGGCCTGGCTCCCTTCCGCCTGGCCTGGACCCCCGGCCGGCGGGCGGGCAGCCCCGGCGACGGGCAGCCCCGCTCCTTCCTGGGCCGGGTGTGCCCAGGCCTGGGGGGTCACCATGCCCGTTTCCGCCCGGCCCTGCCCGCCTCCATGGGCGAGGCCAGCCCGTCCCTGCAGTCCTGATCCCATCACCAAGCTCCACGTTCCACCCATCGCCACGCCCATCCGTCTGTCCCTTCCTCCGCCTGCCACCTTCAACCTCACCCCGTGTCCAGCAGCAAGGGAATCACCCGCTTTCATCCCACCTCCTCCAACCCCCTCCCTACCCCCAAGTTCAGCCCTCTCTCAGTGCCCGCAACTTCAACCTCAGTGCCATCTCCTTTCAAAGTATCCACACTCCACCCTGACCTCATGCCCCTCCCTCACCTCCAAACTCCACCCTGTGCCCAGCCCCGGCCCCAGGCGCCACCCCCACCTCAACCCCCTCCTCCGTCTTCACCCCCTTCTCCTCTTCCCGCCCACTCCCAACCTCAGTGACCCCCGCCTTGACCTTCAACTTCATCCCCACCTCAACCCATGTCCAAGCTTCGTTTTTAAACTCAGGTCCATGCCAATGTCTACCTTTATCTCCTGACGACAGCACCCCAAATCTCCCACCACCTGTGTTAGCTCCCCGAACTATGGGTCTTAAAGCTGTAGAGCCGTATCCTCTCACAGCCTGCAGGTTAGAAGTCCAAAGTCAGGGTGCTGGCAGGGCCACGCCCTCCAAGACCTGCAGGGAGTCCTCCCTGGAGGCTCCTCCCTGGCCTCTTCCGGCTTCTGGCGCTTTGCCGACAACCTTTGGTGTCTCTTGGGCTCCTGGCTGCATCACTCCAGTCCCCCAACTTCACGTGCCTCCTCTCCGTGCCTCCTCAGATCACCTTCCTTCGGCGCACGTCTGTCTTGGTGCCCGTCTCCCCTTGTTTGGTTTTGTTTTTGTTTTTTAGAATTTCGTGTTTGGGTTTTTTTTAAAAAAAACCTATTTTTATTGATTTTTTACAGAGAGGAAGGGAGAGGGATAGAGAGTTAGAAACATCAATCAGCTGCCTCCTGCACAACCCCCACTGGGGATGTGCCTGCAACCAAGGTACATGCCCTTGACCGGAATCGAACCTGGGACCCTTCAGTTCACAGGCCGACGCTCTATCCACTGAGCCAAACTGGTCAGGGCAAGTTTCCCCTTGTTATAGGAACACCCATCAGATTGGATCAGGATCCCCCGATGACCTCATTTTAACTTGACTGCCTCTCTAAGAGCCTATTTCCAAATACGGTTCCATTCTGAGATCCTGGGGGTTAGGACTTCACATGGTTGTTGTTGGGTTTTTTGTTGTTGGGTTTTTTTGGGGGGGGCAATTCAACTCATAACACCGCCGTCTGTATCCTCACCCCCACTCCTGCCCCAAGCTCGTGTCTTCCTTAACGCCTTTTTGGTTTCTATCCCATGTTTAGACCAACCTCAGCAGCAACCTCCACCTTGAGGCATATCTCACGGGTATCCTCAACCTATCCCTTCCTCCAAATGCCATTGTCAACCTCATCGCTCTGCCCGACACCATGGCCACCGCCAACGGGTCCAGTCCCATCCCTCGACCCATTTCTCTATGCTAATCCCACCCCCAGTACAACTCCAACCCTTTCCCCTCTTCATCTACTCCTGACCCCCAACCCCAGGTCCATCTCCGCACCCACCGTCCACCCCATTCCCCTCCCCAACTTCCTCATTCAGTCCTTGTCCCCCTCAGCCCCCCATTTCAACCTCAACCCCAAACTCGGCCTCCTCCTTTGTTTTAAACCCCATCTCCACCCCTACCACTGGGTCCTAGTCCTAACCCCCAACCTCCACCTTCCACTTCACCCATTCTCCATCTCTTCAAACTCATACCCACCCCTACCTTCTTCCCAGCCTCAGCTCTCTCCGAAATCACTCCACCCACATCTCCAGCCCCATCCCTCCCCCAAACCCCAGGTGTCATTCTCCATCCCTTTCCCATCCCCCTCCACCGATTTCAGCCCAACCCCCACACTAACCCTAAAACCCTCATCCCAGCTCCCATCTTCGTCCCCATCCTCACCTCCATCCGAATCCCCAACCCTGCCCCAATCCCCCCCTTCATGCAGCCC